CAGGTCTCCCTGGTCTGACATGCTCCAGGCCAGAGCATCAGGTGGGAGTTCTGTCAAGGAAAGAAAAAATGTAGAAGAGAACAAGCAGGGGAGGAGGCGCAGAGAAGGAGGTATATCTACAGAGTTAAGGCTAAAAGCAGAAAGCCAGTAGAAACAGAAAGTGGTCAAAAAAGGCACGAGTGCCAGCTTCGTGCTGCTCTCCCTATTGAGGCAGGAACAAAAACTGAATTGAGGGGCGTGTCTCATCAAGAGGACAGGAAGTGAAGTTTTGGTTCCTGCCTCCCTAAGGATAGGGTGGGAAGCACCCATCAAGATGTCCTCCTCTCAGAGGGAGAATAGTATATACCATTCCGCTGTCAAATTTACAGGGTTTTCAGGAAATGTTTCCAAACTGCTGGACATCTTCAGCCAGACTTGCTACATGATAAATATACTGGTCTTATAGATGCTAGTGGAAATCATATCTGCTATGATTTCAATTTAGTTAATGATATTTTGTTTAATGTTTTTTGTAATAAAGTTTAAATATGCTGAAAACCATTTTCACTGATAGGAAAAGCAGGAAATAAATATTTTAAACCATTCAGGGACCGTAAAAAATTGCAGGATTTCTAAAGATAGTCATATTGTAATCACTTAGCTCCCCCCTTTTAAAAAAACCTCCCGCTTTTTATTACAAATATTGTTTCTTAAAAACTAGGTATAAATAGAACAAAAACATCTGGGATGCTATTCCTGGAAATTATACATTAAAATACACAAGGAATAAGATACAACCGGAACTTGTGTTGCAGAGTGGCCCAACCCAATTTTATTTGCATCACAACAAAAATAATCTCAGAGTCTAAGTCTTCTGCAATGGGGAGCTTGCTACAAGAACACAAGCTCTAGCGCTAGCTGCACACCAAATAAAAAGCCAATGTATTATTAATACCATTTCACACTAAACACTGTACAAAAGCAAAAGAAAAGCAGATTTCAGTAACAGATGGAAACTAGTCCTAACAAGCAGAAAGAACTAAAACCATATATATGAATCATGATATAGATATAGATACTTTTAAAAGTCCAAAGCTTACTGTGCTTTATACATGTACTAGCAGTCAAGCCCGTTGTGAAAGCAATACAACGATATCTAGAAAGAGGCTCTGGGGCAGTGCTCTGACTTTGGGCAAATAGTGTCAATTTGCTGTGGTGACCTCAGCAGGGTATAATGACAGAGTCCACTGTTTTCTCCAGAGGAACTGATCTCTGCTACCTGAAGAGCAATTGTAATTGTGAGTGATCTGTAGCCCTCACCTGGAGATTGGCAGCAATTGTTACCCAGGACAAAATGGCTGGTTTGGAGGGTGTAGTCTATGGCATTCTACCTGTCTGAGGTCCCACCCCTCCGCAAACCCCACCCTCTCCAGGCTCCACCCCTCAAATCCCCAGGAATTTGTCAGCATGTAGTTGGCAACCACATCTCCTTCCCAGCTAACCATCAACCTACCATTATCTGCCCCTTTGACTTCAGCTGACTTCTGCCCTCCCTTCTGCAGAGCAGTTGTAATTCTGAGTGCTCTCCAGCCCTCACCTGGAGATTGGCAACAATGGTTCCCTATTAGGGACTGACTGGTTTGGAGGGTGGAGTCTATGACATTGTACCTGTCTGAGGTCCCACCCCTCCTCAAACCTCACCCTCTTCAGGCTCCATCCCGCAAATCTCCAGGAATTTCCCATGAGGAGTTGGCAACCCTATCAGGACTGGCCCCAATGTGTTTTCCCCCAAAGGCCAAAGTAGATGACAGGACCAAGCTTAGTTGCCTACCAACAGGCACTGAGGGGAATGTAGGGTTGCCAGCTCTAAGGAGGGAAATACCTGGAAATTTGGGAGGTGGATTCTGTAGAGGGCAGCATTGGGCGGAGGGG